TACCGTCTTAGAATTGATCGCAGTGCTCACCGGGATGATCGCCGTTGGATTTGTCGTCGTTGCCGCGCTCGCAGTTGTTTTGCTCGTAGTTGTTGAGCTCGTAGTCGTTATGCTTGTAGTTATAGTGCTCGTAGTTATCGTGCTCGTAGTTGCCGTACTCGTGGCTGTTATGCTCGTTGTTGTTATGCTGGTAGTTTTCGTACTCGTAGTTGCTATGCTCGTAGTTGCCGTACTCGTAGTTGCTATGCTCGTAGTTGCCGTACTCGTGGTTGCTATGCTCGTAGTTGCTGTACTCGTGGTTGCTATGCTCGTAGTTGCCGTACTCGTAGTTGCCGTACTCGAAGTTGTTGTGCTCGTAGGTGTCGCGCTCGTCGTTGTACTTGTACTTGTGGTTGTCGTTGTGCTCATCGTAGTTGTACGTCGCGAAATTGTGCTTGTCGTGGTCTGCGGGGCACTCCTTGTAGTGGTTGAACTCATACTTGAGGTAGTCGTCGAACTCGAACTTGTCGACTGTGCCGTCGTCACTGTCGTTGAAGCGCTTGAAGACGACGGCACAGTCGGATTACTCGTCGTCGCATTGGGTTGCATCGTCGTACCTGCAAACTGCACAATCCAACTCGGATGATCATGTACAAAATCAACAAACTCGCAGTGTTCGACACTACCAAGTTGAGCCAGACAACCTAAGTCACTCACTCGGCTGTGGGAACGGAGTTGGTGTGGTTCCGCAGCCTTGCAGCATGGCAGGCCAGATTGCTGAGACCGCCAGCAAGAAAAATGCAATCCGACGTATCCGAGATATTGAGACGACATAGATCACCGAAGCAGCTCGCGGAGAGAAGTGTCTTCCCATTGAGGATATAAACACTGTGAATTTGGAGATCTGACCGTTGCCAGGGAAATTCCAAACTCTGACTGCTCCCGAGAGGATCATGCGATAACACTGAACCGGAATCCGCGACAAGAAGTGTGATGATCCGATGAGGACTAACCCGGTAAACAATGATGTGAACTCTCGAGACAAAGATGACGGCTCGTGCAGCCAGAGTCCTGCGGGGGCTCGTCCACTGATATGAAGTCCACGGGATAGATTGGGGCGATGAAAGCCTGGTAAAACTCCGACGAGCGAGATCTTATAGCGAATCCAAAGAGAAGAGACACGGTACTATACGCCTATTTGTAGCAAGAAAGCCGCCACGTTTAAAGGCGAGTTGAAACTGCTGTTTATCGCTTCCTTCTCGCTGATTGGCTCGAGGTGGTAGATGATGTAGGACGTTGGGTAGATTTGGTTGAAGATGGTAGAGCAGTCGTCGATGGCCCACTAGTCGATGTAGTTGAGGTGGGCGGGAACGTATTGTTGACGCAATTACAGGGCAACGTAGGATCATATTGGCAAGTCGAGGTGGTGTTCCATCTGCAATAAGTCCTCTTATCTTTCAGCCTATCATAGCAATACTGATCTCCTTTAGGACAGAGTCGGCTGGGCTCGTAGGGTTTCTCAGTCGTGGTAGTCGTAGTTCTACCGCCTCCGCCGCCGCCACCACCACCGCCCCCGCCACCATCTGAAAAACAAATTCTTACAGCGGCGATCAACGATCGATAAGGATAGTACTGGGCACGTTAGGTCCGGCGGGAGCACCACTGCCACAGCCTTCAAACGTTGCGGTGAAGAGCAAGAGAATGATGACGTAGCTTACGGGGTGCTTACGAGGAGGGGACCACATGAATGCGCTCTCGCAATATAAAAACTATATCTCTAAAATTGTGATCTAGGGCATCGAATCCTTACCTACACCAAAATCGGGCGCTACCCCAGTGATGCAGTACTAGCGATGAGCAAACAGCTCTATAGAACCCTGAACTCTAGACGTGACCGTCAAGATCATCGGCAGAAGCCATGCTGGAAAAAGCAACCGAGCAAAGCATACTGTAGGGCTCGTACAAGCGTGACGATCCTGCCATAACTTGCTTGACACACCTCGGAGTATGAGTCTACTGTACGGGATCAGAAACAGATGCAGGATAAATCGTCACGAACCTATTGCTTCTACGAAGTGATAGAATTGATTAAACCGATATTGGAGGATCAGGGTGACACAGTCCGCAATTTGTGCGTGGTCATGCGTGCACAACAGTTGAGGATCGTAACATGAGATGAGTCAACGCCTCGCAGCGTGTCTCAGTCGCTTACGGGCGCTAGTTGTTTTGGTTTAATGGCAATGAATTTGGAATTCGCTAGCGCCTAGTAGCGCCACATGTCGAGCCTGTATCGCCTCTGTGACGGTCTCGACTCGTTGAGAGCGTACCCGAGGACGTGAACGACAGTACTAGAATGACCATATGCCCTAGGAATTGCTCTTCAAGGGATACTGTTAGAGATATTAGAGCGAGCCAATGTATATGCGTACATATTATGTTGATCGATCATTACGAGTTAGCTATAGTCTTAAGGTTCCCCTTTTCCCATATATCGGTCCATAACGATCTGTCCTGTTCGTCAATTGCGGGCTGGCCTTATATCGTTAGTTCTCTACGTCTCCCTCAACAAATACCTTCAAGGAAGAAAACCTTGCCGATCTTCCCATGTGGAGCAACGTCGAGACTTCTTTCTAGCTTCCCTCATTGAAGAGCATGAGGAATACTTCAAGGTGCGAAGGAACCGAGTCTCCGTAACCAAGAGAACCTACTCCTAGCTGAAAAAACGGAGCGATCGGGCAAGCGGTAAAATCATGAACCCGTCTAGGCGATTTGATTGGAACTTCTGAGCCTCCAAACGATGATGTGATGCAGGTGAACTCACGAGTGCCATCCCCACATCGCGTAGGGAGGAACGCAAGCTACGTTTAGAACACTTGCACGAGCAAGCTTTCGCCGAATCCGCCGAAGCTTGCTACCCAGAGTGCTCCCAAAACCTACATCGGAGACTTCGGTTAAAAAAATTATACGTTAAACACATGTGCGATAGTACCCCGAATTGTTAGGTCCGTCTGGTTAGTGTCACTAGCCAGGCAGCTTGAAGGGCTCAAGGTGCCTCCTGTGCCGGCAGCGAATGCGCCAATCGCTGTCCCGAATCCAGGCTTCGCCGAAAGACAACGCTTTTAACCGCGGAGAAGGTACGCTTTTCCTGATTAGGAAAAGTCTTGCAAGAGGTTAGGGGCAACTCCAGCAGAAGTGATTCGAGTCAGCGCTCGAGCTTGGTCGCTCATGGATGCTTCAATAGTTCAAGCATTCTACCGTAGAGTTTATACGAACATTCCCCTCCACACAATCTAGTCGCTTAACACTGTTGATAATTCCACGAGTATGTGTAAATGTCCAATTGAACTGGAGTACCACTGGAGCCAGAGTTGAATGTGTGCCGAACTGAGCCTGCGTGCATGCCACACAATGCGTGAAGATGAGTCTGCGTGCAAGACTTTATCCGGAAACTTTATCACGATGTGTCTGGTCGATTGAGTATGACTGTGTTATAGCTCTACCGCCATCCGAGTTATCCCAGCTCTTTCATTTCATTCATCCGTTCGGATCGGTTCAAGGATCGATCCTATCGACCTTGGGTCAACTGTCTTAACCAGGGTGTCGGAACAAGGTCCAAAACGGCGGAAAGTTTCAGAGGAAACTTTCCGGGAATTCTTCCGAAAGTTTCGAAAAGTTTCACAATTGGCGGGGAAGGGATATTCGCGTAATTAAGAGCAAATGCGTTGACCCAATTCATTCTTGCAAGCCTCCATGGGGATCATATTGCATTTGAGAACTTCCTGTTTGCTGAATCAACTACTACGAACTTTGCCGCGGATCGTGTTGGTCATATATGCGAGCGAATTCATATACCGGCGACCGTCAACAGTAACTCGTTCGAATACTCCTTCATGCTGCATCATGACGCCAGTGGCGCCGCGCTGCACATGACGGGACTCTAGATCATCGTATTCCATCCCTAGCTTAGATTTGGAGGACTACTCCATTTGAAATCAGTAGACTTCCTCTGAGAAGGCCTTCAGCCTAGCCAGGGTTCGCGATAGACGGCCCACCTATGGCAGTCATGCTGAAGAATCTAATGCTAAATAATTATTCTCTAAGAGGTCTGGCTGAATCGAGATTCTCCGCCCAGAACAGTACTGGCAGTACTTGAGTTTTTAACATGAAGCGAGGTATTTCTGTTATTCGAGGCATGCTGGGTGGGAGTAGCTAAGCTACTCTTTCATTCTGACCATCGTGAGGCTGTGAGAGATGAATGGAAGGTCTCTAACATCCAAAATGCACACTCAGCAAAAGTTTCCTGAAAAATTTTACTCGCGGAGAAATTTGGAAACTTTCGCGGAAATTTCCCGCGAAAGTTTCTGTGGAAAGTTTCTCAGACACACTGGTCTTAACTCGCCTCCGTTTTCTCTTCGTGATCAATGAAAACTTTCCTTTATAACCAGTGATACGTGGAACAGGGCCACGTCCATCTACTCAAAGGCACCGCCTTCACGTCACCTGCTGATGAGGAGGGCTCGGAGGCAGCCTCGACGGCTGCTTCGCAGCTTGGGCAGCCTGGATAGCTACCTCGCACGGGGGACATCCCCGGTTTTTTTCTTACAAACGTACGAAATAATATGAATTTTAGCGTATCTCTTGTTAATTGGTTCAATTGACGGACATGTAACGTTATCTCATCGTCTGTCTGCGCAAAGACAGCCTCATTTCGGGTGCAAAAACCATGAGAAAGGAGTTCTTGTGGGGGCTTCAGTAGCCTGCTGTCACAGCAGGCGGGAGTGTCAGAAAGCCGTTGTCCGGTCACGACCCTCAACGAATTGAGGGCTGGCATGGGACGTCATCCCTCATCCTGTCGCGAAGAGGGCATGCGATGTGTGTTTAAGGAGGCTGGAGTTGGTCACCGAAATTGACGGGGGAAACTTTAAACACTTCTAGTGACTCACTAGTAGTGAGTACCAAGTCAAAACCGGTACGGCGTTTCCATATGTAGCCGATTTTGCGTTTGATCTCAGTGCACAATATGGATATCAGAACCGTTCATACAGCGTTGGAGAGAGCTCGATGAGGGTTTTCAAATGGTACCCCTTCTGTTCACGAACTGTCACTTGCCGCGAAATTATGAGGGGTGGGCCCTTCCCTTGCACCAACCTGTAATACGTCAACTTTCAGGTTCCGAAGGGCTGTCACACTGTGACAGTCACATTGCTCCTATTGTCGACGTGTGCGTATATCAAGCGCAGCATGGTAGCTAGTCTCATGAATCCTGTTTCTGATGAAGCCTCTACTATTCTCGCCATAGACTTCAAAGGGCTGATCGACCTCGACCTGTTCTCCTTGCATATTCTGCTGTCCAACCTTACGAAGCAGAAGAAGTTTTGCCTTTTTCGAACAGCTAGGATGGAAAGCGAGTTCTAGTGTAGTCTAGTTGTTGTGGAAATCCCGGACGAAATTGTTCTTGTAGTTCCTGGCGATTGCGAAAGAACACCTGAGAAATTCTCAAGTGAACGGAGTTGGGCGGAACAACTCGTTTCACGCTAACGATTTTTTTAATTGTCAACGGCCGAAGAGTGGGTGTTGGGCCGCAAGCACTCATCCACATTGAGATCGCCAGTAGCGCACTGAATATCAGGAAAACGCGGAAATTGAGAACCAATTTGGGAGTGGTGATTAGCCAGTAATGATAGCTAAAATGTTAACATCATTCAACTCAGCGCACCGACCACGTAAGGAAACGCGTCCTTATGCGAAATGAAACACGGAAGTGCGGTAAATGGTTCGAGTTCTCTCGGAAATTCTTGACCATGTTTTCTTAATGAGCCACTCCGAGCAAGGAATAGCTACGGAGTTATTTTACACTCGATGACATACTTGTAAATATACCAATGCAGGCCTCAACTCATGTGCCTTATCCGACATAGGATGACATTGAGATAGGTTATGTCCATCTAGCTCTCACTCTCGTATGGTCCACCGGCTAGTATTAAATGCGACCCCGATGGCGATGCCATCATGGCACCGCCATAACATTCAGCAACATAGTCGCTTTCGTCAAGAAGCCCACATTCATACTTGCCCAGCTGTCGTTGGATTCGTCGCTATGCTCGCTGATATGCTGCTATCGCGCTGTCTCTTATTTCTATGATGCACGCATGCGCATCAGCATGAATATTGCCGGTAGAACGCATGCGCATCTTCTTGTGGCAAATGTTCTCGCACTTGGGACGGAGAAGCACTAGCAACGCAAGTGATGTAGGGCTTATAGCAATAGTAGTTGGCTTGGACGAAATGGAAGGCTGCTGCTTCCAAAGCCTTGAATCAATGGGGGAGATCAAAGCCGAACTGAACTTGTTCTTATGACTTCGAATCTGGCGGAGACAGAGACGGTTTCAAATGACTCAGAAACGGATAGAAACTCGCACGCCTTAGGAGACAGATTGTGCTAAGATTCGCCGATGGTAGAGCTCGCCACGAAGGACAGCATTCTACACATTCTTGACCTTCTGATGATGTACGTGCACTCTTAACTAATCTCGTTATTCCTGGTCTATGCTCGATCTACTTGAGCTCTCTTATTGCTTCGTATCGTCAGTACGTACTTCCATCTTTCCTCTATGTCAAGTGTTGCTCGTTGTTGTGCTCGCTGGCATGTTCGTCGTTGGATTCGCCGTCGTTGTCGCGCTCGTAGTTGCCGTACTAGTCGTTGTTCTGCTCGTAGCTGTTGTGCTCGTAGTTGCCGTACTCGTGGTTGTTCTGCTCGTAGTTGTGCTCGTAGTTGCCGTACTCGAAGTTGTTGTGCTCGTAGGTGTCGCGCTCGTCGTTGAACTTGTACTTGTGGTTGTCGTTGTGCTCATCGTAGCTGTACGTCGCGAAATTGTGCTTGTCGTGGTCTGCGGAGCACTCCTTGTAGTGGTTGAACTCATACTTGAGGTAGTCGTCGAACTCGAACTTGTCGACTGTGCCGTCGTCACTGTCGTTGAAGCGCTTGAAGACGACGGCACAGTCGGATTACTCGTCGTCGCATTGGGTTGCATCGTCGTACCTGCAAACTGCACAATCCAACTCGGATGATCATGTACAAAATCAACAAACTCGCAGTGTTCGACACTACCAAGTTGAGCCAGACAACCTAAGTCACTCACTCGGCTGTGGGAACGGAGTTGGTGTGGTTCCGCAGCCTTGCAGCATGGCAGGCCAGACCGCTGAGACCGCCAGCAAGAAAAATGCAATCCGACGTATCCGAGATATTGAGACGACATAGATCACCGAAGTAGCTCGCGGAGAGGAGTGTCTTGCCATTGAGGATATAAACACTGTGAATTTGGAGATCTGACCGTTGCCAGGGAAATTCCAAACTCTGACTGCTCCCGAGAGGATCATGCGATAACACTGAACCGGAATCCGCGACAAGAAGTGTGATGATCCGATAAGGACTAACCCGGTAAACAATGATGTAAGCTCTGGAGACAAAGATGACGGCTCGTGCAGCCAGAGTCCTGCTGGGGCTCGTCCACTGATATGAAGTCCACGGGATAGATTGGGGCGATGAAAGCCTGGTAAAACTCCGACGAGCGAGATCTTATAGCGACTCCAAAGAGAAGAGACACGGTACTATACGCCTATTTGTAGCAAGAAAGCCGCCACGTTTAAAGGCGAGTTGAAACTGCTGTTTATCGCTTCCTTCTCGCTGATTGGCTCGAGGTGGTAGATGATGTAGGACGTTGGGTAGATTTGGTTGAAGATGGTAGAGCAGTCGTCGATGGCCCACTAGTCGATGTAGTTGAGGTGGGCGGGAACGTATTGTTGACGCAATTACAGGACAACTTGGGGTCATATTGGCAAGTCGAGGTGGTGTTCCATCTGCAATAAGTCCTCTTATCTTTCAGCACTTCATAGCAGAACAGATCTCCTTTAGGACAGAGTAGGCTGGGTTCATACGGTTTCTCAGTCGTGGTAGTCGTAGTTCTACCGCCGCCGCCACCACCACCACCACCGCCCCCGCCACCATCTGAGAAACAAATTCTTACAGCGGCGATCAACGATCGATGAGGATAGTACCGGGCACGTTAGGTCCGGCGGGAGCACCACTGCCACAGCCTTCAAACGTTGCGGTGAAGAGCAAGAGAATGATGACGTAGCTTACGGGGCGCTTACGAGGAGGGGACCACATGTAGGCGATCTCGAAATATGAGGACTATATAACTATACAATTGTGATCGAGAGCATCGAATGAGGCAGTCCTAGGAATGAGCAAACAACTCTATAGAACTCTATGTGATGATCAATATCATCGGTACGAGGCATGCCACAGGAAACAACCGGACGGATCGTGCTGTAGGAGTACTAAAGTAGGACTTATATTTGCCTGCCTGTCCCGTCATAACTTGCTCGACACGCCTCGAACTTCGAGGCTCGAAGGCATTTTATGCATGTACAGCACGCAAGCCCGCGTTGCGCACAAAACTCGCGCAATGCGCCTACACGATGGGCGTGCGACTTGTTGAATCTCTTTGATCCCAAGTTAAAATAGTGGTACCGCAATTTAAACCTCTTGTCAGACATTTAAATTCAGCCAACTTCGAATTCGAACGAACTTTTTAATATAAAGTTTAGAAAGTTCTATATAAAATATTCAATTCCGATTCCGAGATAATCAAAAATACCCAACTTCGAATTACATTGCTCGGAAGTTGCCTTCAGAATTTCTGGCTAGCAAGGCCGAATACGAGAATGTCGACTGTCAAAGTTCGATCCTGCCTCCTTCCCATTGGTAACACGAACTGTTGAACACGACACTATTTCAACCGAATGCATAATTGCATCCCCCAAGAATCGATCCTGGAACTCTGCGACTGTCAGCACGACAGATTGACCACATCAACATTCCAATCGCATCAATGGGCCTGTTTTAAGGCGCCTTAAATTCAGGGGGAACTTGAGGAGTTACTCAAGGTATACTTAAAAGTACTCAACTCATTTCACAAGGTTTAGAAGCAACTTAAGAAGCTCCTTAACTTGAGGCGTACTTGAGTATCTACTCAACTATGGTTGCAGGTATAAAAGAGTCTTACATTTTAAGTTCTATGGTATAAATGCACGAGTGGTTAGGTTGTTCATTTATTATACGATTGCCTCAGGTACGAGTCTGAGGTATGCTCTTTCTTAGGCCGTTTACTGTTTCGCAACTATGTACTTTCCTCGATCATGGGTAAGGTATCAATGGTGAGTTACCGTTGGTAACGAGCTGCAAGGGGATTTCCCACGAATCACAATGTTAGCTAGAAATTCCAGCCTAGAGTAAGTCACTCAACCGTTGAGTCTCAACGGTCCGCTAAGTGGAAAATATACTCATGTGAACTCAACGGTGACGCAAATCACTGAAGTATCACTAAGTCGCCGCAACTACCTGCGAACGTAGCTCTTACGAAGAGCGTTCTCGACACCATCCACTGGAGCATCTGGGTCAATCAGAGACTCTGATTCAAAGTTATTTGAAATGACTGTGAATCACAGCCTGTGATTGACCCAGATGTTCATCTCCTGTTCACAAGCAGCAAACATTGCCTCCTCGACGTTTTGCAGTGGCTGATCCTTAAAGGTGACCATATTGTGAAGTTCGGTTCGGCTCTTGTTGCGTTAAAAAAATGGACTCCTTGCAAGATTTTTTTGCCTCTCTGGACAAGTGGGAGAGCACCGTGCTGCCATTCTTGAAGAATACTCAAGTTGCTCCTCAAGTACGCATGTTGTGAGATTCTTCTCGTAAATACTCAAGTATATGCACAGAAACTTTAGGCGCCTTTCGAAAAAATCAAAATGAAAATAGACAGATCCCTCATTGAGGGAGACTTCTAGGGTCTTCGAAAAGCATCAGGGTGTGATTAGACTTTGAATGCGAGTTGTAAACATCCTGTGATGACTAATTCATCTTCTACCGTCGATGGCAGTGTTGGGTTGTTGAAGAACGGCGATTTGACGGATCAGAACTCACATTCGTGAGCTTCGCTGATCCCAAGCATCCGTCATGCAATGTCGTGCTCGCAACTCGTGGTCGTTCAGATTTTTCAAACTGAATTCTCCCACTATGAGCAAAACCTACCGTATGCTGATAGGTGATGACCTCGTCAGTTCCGTCAGCTATTTCGAGAAGTTCAATCCAGCCAATGGGGCTCTCTTGGCAAGGGTGATCAACCGCCTCTGCTTTCGACCTCTCGGACAGGCTGGCCGTCTCATGGCCATTCGCCCAATCACTCTTCGAATAGGTCCCAGGGGTTACCGCTGAGCAGATTGATGAAGCTGTCTCCGCTGGTAGGAAGGCTTTCGAAGCATTCTCCAAAATGTCGAAGGTGCGTGACTCACTGCTCCTACTGCTCAAGGCTTGAACTTCGAGCTAGGTCGGGGGCTTGTCAGGATGCAAGGAACTCTATTCTACTGGCGTGCAGCGAGGCAATGACGGCTAGTTCTACTGAACTGGCAGAACTACTGTGTGAAGAGCAAGGGAAGCCGCTCTCCAGTGCGACTAAAGAGGTCGAATGGGCAATCAGTAGTTTCAAGAAGGCAGCTAATGTACGTTCATTGTTTGCCGGAATCTTCCAGCGCATTGAACTTGCGAACAGTCTCATGCTCAACAGATGCCTATCCCAGTGAAGGTCATTCACGAGGACGACACTGGCAGAGTAGAAGTTCGCTACTGCCCCATCGGCGTCGTGGCAGCTATAGTTCCCTGGAACTTCCCCTTGGCAATTGCTGCCTGTAGGATCTCCTAGGAGAACTATGACTTACAGCAGGAGGCCCTTCTTCGGTGCTAGGTCACGCAGCGATCTCCCTGGCGTTTGGTAATGCTGTTATTATAAAGCCGTCTCCCCACACGCCGTTGACGGCTCTACGTCTGGGGGAGCTCTTCAATGGCATCGTACCTCCTGGTCTCATCCAAGTATTCACTGGACCCGACACTCCGGTGAGGGTCCATTCTGGCCGAGGATGATCGCTTATCGTGTTGCTAACTTTAGGGAGATTTTAATGTTGGTAATTATCTAGTTCAACACCCCGGTATCCGCAAAGTCTCATTTACGGGCAGCGTTGCGACTGGTAGGTAGTAGCAGATTGCAGCGGAGCGTATCGCGCTTCAGCGTTACATATCGATCAGTAGAGGGCTCGACAAGATCCTGTTCATTTCAGGCAAACGTGTTTTGGCTAACACTATTGCCGATTTGACGAGGTGCACTCTCGAACTTGGTGGAAACGACCCTGCGATAGTTCTACCTGACGCCTCTGTGCCACAAGTTGTCCCCCATATCTTGCGGGCGGCATTCATGAATTCGGGCCAGGTGCGGTACGCTAGTGGTATCACCCGGTACTTGTGATGATCGGAATTCGTCTTCAGGTCTGCTCTGCCGTTAAACGCATTTATGTCCATGAAGCGATCTATGATGACTTCGTTACAGCTGCTTCTGAGGAAGTAGGGAAGCTGAGCAGCTTGGTGGGGGACGGTAGGGAGTCTAATGTCAAGTACGACCATGGCGATCGTATTAATGGCCGATCGAAGATGTCAATAACCTGTCAGGTACGGCCCATTGAACAATGAGATGCAATATAACCGAGTAAAGGAGCTGGTTGCTGATGCTGTGAAGCACGGAGGCGAGATCATCCACGGACAGCTGAGGGAGGGGTTACCGGAGAATGGGTAAGGCTGAATAGAACTCCGAAGTACCTGACACAGCGCAGATACTTCATGGCTCCGTCCATAGTAACTGGTATTACCGATGGAGTCCGGTTGGTGGACGAAGAACAGTTCGGACCGGTTGTACCCATAATGAAGTGAGTCACATGAAAAGACGACCGTTAGTTCTTAATCAGCTGTGATATGCAGATACGCTGACGAGGCGGAGGTAATCGCGCGGGCCAACGGCACACCTTACGGTCTGTCGGCGTCGGTGTGGGGATCAGACTGCGATGCGTTGAACAGAATAGCTACACAGATACTTGCCGGAGTTGTCAGCATAAATAGCCATGGATTGAGTAAGTTCCCGTCGAGGGTTGTCATACATGATTGATGTTTTGGCGGAGGCGGCTGTGTGGAGCGTTGCATATTCGGTCGGAGATCTGTCGCTATTCTACTCAGGTGGGGAATTCGACTATCCCTTTGGGGGGTTCAAAGACTCCGGTCTTGGTCGTGAGGGTGACTTCGGTGATGCCGACTTGATGGCCTTCACCGAGACTCAAACCATCAGAGTGGCAACGCGTGATTCGTAGTGTCTTCATGTAACAAGAGTTTCTGCCAGTTAATGGCTGTGAGCTATACAGTGGTTGGTACTCAGCAAATTTCACTCACGATTTTGCCATTCGCATTAACCAGTGCCGAGTTCAATAATTGAACATGTCACATTCTGGAATACATACAAGCGTGGGATTGTGGGATTCTTTGTTCTATCTGGGGTGAGTGACACCCTTCCGACCCGAGACGACATATGTGTGGTGACAAATTTAGCGTTGATTGAAACAGAGATAAGGGCACAAAGCGAGAGCAAGTATAACGTGAAACATTCCCTCAGATCTCAATTCACGGTGGTCCTAGTATAAATAGTGAACATACTACTGTTTTCTAAAGCTCGGAAAAATCACGATAAAAACCAGCAATTTAGTACTGAGCCTGAAGATGGTTATGATGACGGAAATGGATTAATTAAGTAGGGAGAACTTGAATGATCACATAGCTATTTAACAGGCACGTTGAGACAGACGGGTGGCGAAAATGCTCCCATTCAGACGTTTGAAAATGTGAGATTCATATCGTGGCAGCAGCCTGATCATGATGTCTATAATGGGCCCCAGAACACGATTGAACTCGACTCGCCCACCGGAGAGAACCGAGCTCCGACCAATGAGTGCACCATGGAGGTTCTCCGCCTGGTATTGTTACCCGACACCCATTCCCATCAGCCCTGACAGTAGCCTTACGAGGCTGCCCAGGCTTGAGCAGAGCTATTTTCCCAAAGTATTCCCCAGGTGTGGTGTAACGTTTAACCTGTTTACCAATGTATCACGACGTAAACTGGCGGCAATGAACACAGACCTCCATTTCTCCTTCTTGATCAGTCATGAACGCAGTGCATTCACCACTTCCCAAAATATATAACCTATAAACCGAGCTCAACTACAGGAAATAATACCAGCGATTTACTTGTCACCCGACACATCTCCCTGTTCAACGATAACTTCACCGCTGGCACCACAGCATAGAGCTACACGGACGGGGAAATATCGCGATCGCTTATCGGGCTGCCAAAATCAATAGTCACAGGATCGGGAGAAAGGGATGTTCCTGCCGTCGCCACCACCGTGTCCGAGTGCACCGAACACACCCCCACCTAAAGTGCATGAACTGATCGGACATCAGGCAATGCTATCTGGTGGATTAGGGATATTCACCTCCGGGTCAACTTCCTTTTTGCTGCACAAGTGATTGTCCATGAGAAAATAACTACAACTTTGAGCGATTCTCCGTTCCCCCGTAACAAACCATCTGACGACAGTCTTTGACCACAGTGGCGAAACAAGCCATGATACAGTAGAAGTAACGTCAGGGTAGAGCATGTGCTTTCACTACCACTTGAGAAACACCGCTCTCTCGTGCTATACGGCACCAACACATGTTGGTGAGCATGCGAATATTTTTCCACACTGACTGCCAGATCAGGCCAGGGTGCCACCGACACCCCAGAAAGGGCCTTAACAAGCCGCCACTGACAGCTTCTGGCACTACAAGAGCAGGTGCTCCGCAACACAGTGACGATGGACTACATACAGACATCAGGCGGCCGTCGTACGTCTTAGCAATAGTAGGTACAAGTGTGCTCCAGACAACTCGTGAGACAACTGATATGAACACCCGTAGAGATAATACGAGCATATAATGCTCTTAGGATCGGGTCGAAAGGGATAGAAAGTGGCATTAGGACATATGCCTGTCGATCCAGCCGTCTCGAACAGGGAATTTCACATCGATCCTCACCTCGCGCGGAAGAGTGCCACATTGGTAGAGTTAGTTTCTGTTGGAGTGTCATGTGGCCCATGTAGAGAATATGGTTGCCAAGACGCTCTTGATTTCGGTTCGTCGTGAGAACAGTCTCTCCATTGACGTCTATTCCCATCGGTGGGGAGCCTTCTCCTGCTGGTAAAAGTATAGATCGCCAATAAACCCCGTTTGCATTGCCAGTACAACCAACAAGCCTCACACGAAGGTGAAGAGGGATCAAATGAAGTCACCGCGTTTCTCAGGAGAAACTACCACAATCTGCGTTCGTATCCGCTGATACTCGGGATTTTTTCCTCGGGTAAAAACACCTGCACCGAGACAGGGTCGCAAGACAGGGTCGTGACTGTGAAGAAATCCCAGGAGGACTCAATGGCGCCGCTGCACTACTTATCAGGTTTTATGAACGCCACCAGAATCTACTGTGAGATTCTCCGACCAACCCAACAAACAACAATAACAGAGATAGACAAGCGTTTCCTCCTAAGGGATTCCGAATAAAATAATCGGGTGATGACAACAATGAGTTTCTTTAACCAATCCGTATCAGCGCCGGGGTCTATCCTAACCTATGAGGAGTCTGATTTCATAGGTCCCTAGGGGGGAGCTGAGCCGTCGAGTAGTTCCAATCATCTTCATCCTCGCAGATATCGAGAGAACAAAGCAGCAGAGCTCTGTCAAGCTGCGCTATCATCGCGCTGCTGAGGTCTTGAGAGGCTACGATGCTGTTGGAGGGCAGCAGATCGGTACAAGCATTTCCCTAATACCAATACTGACGTCTTCCTGAGCGTTCCCAATGTGAAATCCGAGTACATTGACAATGTCTTTACATTAGGGTAGTGGGTTGTTCGAATTTACTAAGTGAGAGAGCCAGCCAACAGAGGCGCCAAGGCCTATACTAAGTTCAGTGTTAGTCGTGAACATGATTCGAGATTCGCTGATGATATAACGGCTCTATTGTGAATGAGTATCACCAGTGATGTTCCACGTGACGAGTGAAAGAACGCAATGAGCGTCTACGGCTGTGGCTGGTTATCACACACTCTCGCTCTGGACGTGCCCTAATTCTTGTGTTGGTAATAGTTGGTATCAGCGGGACAAGAAGTGACCTCGAAACTCATTACAGGAACCACCGTACACGCAGCATGACCTGTACTATCTTGCGACTGGGCGAGCGCTTGAATTAGCGAATTGGCTCTAAATCGATTAGAATGGCGCAGCGCGCTCGGCCTTTCGCATGGAGTACTGATTTTACGCAACTCCCCTTCCCACTCAGCTGAGGTAATACACAGGGTTGGGAGGGACGTGTTTATGCTAACTGCGTCTTTGCTAAGGAGATGGTGTTACGTAGTCGGTGTAGTCACTCTTGACTTGGACTATTTCCTGTTGGAATCCACGCGCTTTGATCGTCTAACTCGGAGTGTCGTTGGACCGTCTTCTCTTCAGCATGGCATCTCCTAAGAACGCCCAGAAAGGTTACGAGGAGGTTCCCGTCGAGGAGCCCCTCCATCACATTCGTATCACTCTCACCTCCAGGAACGTCAAGGCTTTGGAAAAGGGTAACAATATGGGCTAGTTCTTGCTATAGCGATTTTTTATAACGAATGATGTGTTGAGGCTGTTACTCGTTGGTCGTTTTCAGTGTGCTCCGAGTTGATGGCTGGTGCCCACGAGAACGAACTTACTGTTGCTGGCCCTGTCCGCATGCCCACTAAGGTCCTCAAGATCACCACTCGTAAGTCCCCCAACGGTGAGGGTACTAACACTTGGGACAGGTAATATTACCATCACTGGCACAATCTTGACTAAATTGTCTTATTTTATGCCCTGTCGTTGCTTCAACCTTGCTTTGTCAGATTCGAGATGCGCATCCATAAGCGTTTCATCGACCTCCAGGCTACCCCTAAGGTTGTGAAGGACATCACTTCCATCTTCATCGAGCCCGGTGTAGATGTTGAGGTCACCATTGCTCAGAGTTAAACGGTGATTCCGTTACCATTGCGGTACCGCCAAAAGCCACAATTTGGGATGCTTGCTTCCGCCTAAAGAGCCACCATCCGCTGCTGTTTGGAAGGGTATAACCGTTGCGGTGAAGTTTTGAGCCTCTGTTGTGTTGTATGTAGTAAAAGTGGCGAAAAACTATCGAGTGCCGACTCCCAAACGGAGTTAACAGTGTCCAGTGGCACGGATATCCATCAAGGTTAAATCCCGTATTGCTGCTACTGGTTGTTGAGGCTTTTTGATTTAAGGCCGCAAGGCGCGGAACACTAGTATAGTAAAACTTAGCGGATAATGATTTGCAGTGCATAGTGGACAGGTGGTACTAATATGATGTGGAGGGAGAGAGTTTCGCATTCTAAACACACTGAAGCGGAGCTTTTCAGCCTCTCCCGATGTGCCTGAACGAGCCCCTCCTGCCAACAACATTGTCAACATGGTATTCATAGAGATGTATGTTGCCAATGCCAATGTTGTATGTCAACATGTTCTATTGCCATTCCAGTCGCTTCCGGCCATGCTACAAACTAACAGCTGGGAACAAATCGACGGTTTGTAAGGTTGAGCTGCTCAGGCTGAGCAGCTCAACACAGGAGATCAGCACTTAGCTGATTCTTCCGCATCTCTTCTTCGTCTGATTGCAGCTCAGTTGACTCGCAGGGATTTAGTCCGCGTTCCCCATAAATTCTTGTCCTGAGCATTTCGTCTCGGCAAGTTCGCCACTCTCAAATTTTCCACAATGGGCTCTATACACCTTTCTCTCTTCCTTCTACTTCTTGTCCGAGCCCCGAAATGATAGGATGAATTCCATAGTCATTGTTTGTTCACCTAAGATGAATTGGCCGTAACGAGAGTATGGATCCACTCTAGGCTTATACATAGCCTCTTACACCCTTTAGGAAATACGAGATTCGCTAGCCGTTAATGTTCATCGAAATACGACAGCTGATGGTCGGCGGCTCCTTTGATTGTGGGAGGAGACAGCATCACACCGTCGGCAAAACTCAGTGTATCGAGGTATAGTCCAAAGTCTTGCTTTAGAACATCCGGGCTGTATCCCCTCGAGAATCTAAATCTGTATCTCGACTCTCTTATTCCGCAGTCCGCTTTCAAGCTTGGTTTTTCGCTCTTTCTGGTGTAACCTTATCGTGTCTTCTACCGACTAATAGCTGTTAGTCCTGATTCTTATGTACTTCGCATATACTCAACCCGCACACGTGATTTCGGGATATTTACTCCAAGCCTTTCGGAAAGCCTTCGAGTATATAAGCCGGAAAAGCCGCTTTCCCGAACTCAGCACCGGTAATTGTCAGTAGCAGCCCGAACTGTCTAGGGAGTTGTACCCCACTATCCGTAATGAAAACCAACCACTATTTACTAACCAAGGTTTCCGCGTCAAGTAGGAAACGAACACAACGCTCTCGTCGACAGACAATTATCCTCACTGTGCCATTAACATAAGGGAAACCCGAGAGCACTGATAAGAACTGGAAACTCCGGATAGTAATGTGCACAGGAATACCGAGTGGCATTTCCTTTTTAGCAAATGTCAACAACTTTCCCTTAGAGAACAGCACATATCTCAACAGATAGAAAAGTCCACAAAAGAAAGTAACAGAGGAAGAACCACTGAATTGTGACAGGAAGACTCCAACCCGAGAACTTATGACGAATAGTCTCCACAGGCAATAGAATCGAAACAAGAGGAACTGAGTTATGAACAAACGTGACCTATTTGCATTATATTAATGCCCTTTGAGGCATCTCGGACGTTGCTTATAATACCAGTAACGAGTACAATAATACAGCCAGCACAGGTGATACCAGCGAGGAGAAACACTAGAACACTCATTCTTCCAGTTTTGGCCACGATCTGTTTCAGAACGAGCTTGCCAATAATGCCACCAACGAAAGGAAGAACGACAATCCACATATCAGAACCACCAGGGAAATATCCACTCATACCATACGACAATGCCGTACCTGAACGGAACAAAAACAGACCGGATCTCCCTTCACGCTTTCAGAGATATTGTCCACGGGAACATTATGAACGTACTTGTGCTCATCGCAAAGATGTTGATAGCGTTGGTAGCTGTCCCTTGCTGTGGATTCAAACCGAAATCCAAGATGATGGGGTTCATAAGGATACCACCGCCGATGCCGACCATCGAGGAGATGATACCGGTAACTGATCGAGATGCGAGTCTAGCAGATGCTACTCGTACAATCAACTTACAAACAATCTCCACTCCAAGGATGCAACATTGAACTAGTCGACATACCTTCCGCTTGGCGAATATGAAGCCTGACGATATGCCCAACAGCAGCGCTATCTCGAGAGCGGCCAGGAACCAGTACACCCCGCCGCAGTATGGCACTGGTGCTATGCCTGAACAAGATAAGCATGAGGGTTTCCCTTCAGTCGCGAGAAGGACTCCTACGCCACTTTATCGAACACATCTGATACTTCAATACCTTCCCATAATACGAACTACAACAGTTATGTCATGTCACTCCACATCACTAGAACTATCAATCAACAATATCGCACAGCAACACTCCAGAGGAATTCAATTCTTATCGCCATTTCCGGAGGAGGGTATTGCTATTACTTTTGGCTGTTGAGGATCCTCGTAATAAGGGGAATATGAGACAGAGCACCCAAATGAGGAACGCTGTTGTCCAGTAGAAAAACAGCACTTTCCTCGATGGCATCACCAAGAATGGGTCCACTTTCTTCTCCTTAGCCTCCTCTAACGTGACTATCGTCTTCTGGCTTGCTGACGACGGTGACTCATGCTCCTTGCTTGCCTTCTTTGTCGCATTTTCAGACCTGTACTGTTTTACGCCCTTCAACGTCGTCTTAATCGTCGAGAAAGCTGCTACCAGCACGTAGAGGATAAGGATAATCAGCTGGGGGAGGATCATGTTCAGATAGACACCGATTACGGCTCCAGCAACAATGCATGGCAACATAATGATGACGTATGGTAGGATGATGAGCGGCTTCTTGGGCTCATGCCACTGCGTCCAGAAGTTTATAATACACTGACATGAACACAATAACTACGTCTTCCGACAAGGACTCATGCCATTTTCCTATTACACTAGCAAGTTGAGAAGCAGCAATAAGCGCTTGACTGGTCGCTGATGCTTCCTTCGAATCCAGCTCCCCGACAAGATGGAGAACAGGGGTAAAAAGGATACCACCACCGATGCCAGCAGGGGATGCTAGCAACGCTATTATTACAAGCAGAGGCGCTACAGCGCCCATCCGCTGAATTCTGGCGCCCGTCATTTCGCTCCACAAACGAAGAAACAACAACTGCGAGATGAAGCACCACCGTCATCAATTTCCCATCAACGGTACAACCGTGTAACAACCCCCCCCCCCGGAATTCAACAGAAATATCCGTCCATAAAAAATGCTAATGAAGCAAGAGTATACAGATGGTGACGGGGGAAATCTAGTTGTGACCACACAGGGGTCCAACACATAGATGCCCACTACTCCGCTACAGATGAGCGAAGCAAATGTAGCGGAAAAAGATAAAGAAATCTAGCAAAAACTCCCAAACTGCAAAATATTTTCGCCATTACCAGCGTCATGGACGAGAGAGATGATACCAGAAATTACTGTTATGGTACCACCTATAGCGACCATCGTGCCGAGCAATATTACGAGTACACTGAGACGCCCAGTCAATGAAACTAATTTTCCCACTATGGTCTTCCCTAAGAGCGCGCCAATGAATGGCATGACAGTTATCCACATGTCCGATGCAGGAGGGAAATAACCGCCCAATGCCAAGGACAAGGCCGTGCCTGACGACAAAGACATGAGTTTGTCACAAGTGGGTCTCCTCTCCCCTTACTGGTGCTCGTGGCGAATATGACAATCGCTGTAGTGGCCGTGCTCTGCTTGGGATCGAGGCCGAGGGACAGGACTAGAGGATTCATCAGAAGCCCGCCACCGATGCCCACCATCGATGCGATCAAGCCAATAACTGAGAGCATATGATGTGATTAACAACGGTCATGAGAAATTCGATGATCAAGACCAGAAGAGGCAACTCCTGCTTATCACCTATCATTGCTGCTATCAATATGAAACCAATTCTGACGGTGGTGGGAGAGCGTTCAGCACATATGAATCCAGCAGGGACGAATAGAAGTAGTACAGCTTGCAACGCAGCGAGTACCCAAAAGACCACCTCACAGTAAGGGACTCCGACCACACCTGCGAGATCAAGTGAAGGCAACTGCCTATGAAACGACGACACTACTTTCGCTTGATGAAGAGCCACGTAATGGGGGGAATACGAGACATACGGCCCATACCACCACAGTCACAACCACATAAATGATAAACTTCCTCCTGCCGGGCATCTCTTGGAGAGGTGGGATTCCTACGGGTTCCACTGAGGGACTACACGTGACAGTCGTAGTCGAGTCGAATTCCCGGATTGCCGATTCCTTGGCATCAGTCTCCGCTTTCCAAAGCTTGTAGCCTTTCCGATAAGCCGCTAGACTACCAAAGCACGCTACGATGAAGTAGAGGATGAGTTGTAGGAGAGAAGGAAGCCAGGAGTAGAGGTAGATGCCAATGAGGGAGCCCACTACCGCACATGGCAGCATGAGAATAACAAATGGCCACACGATAAGAGCCTTGGGTTCATTCTTCGCGCGATACTGTGCGTAAAAGTTGAAAAGGTTCTGAATATGAAGAACAGCTAGACAACGGACCGGGCATGGGTGTTACTACCGCAGCTAACGCCGATGCCGCTACCAGTGCTTGACTCAATGAGGAGGACTCCTTTTGAGACAACCCACCAATAAGACGCAGTACCGGTACGAAGAGGATGCCACCGCCAATGCCCGCGGGCATACAGAGCAGTGATATGATAAAAACAAGGGGAGCTACTGCTCCCATGTTCGCCAGCGGGGGAGCTGTCATATTAAATATTGACACCTACATAGGATAACGACTATACTATATCCGCGAGTTGATGATTTCGGACTCGCATCCGTCTATCTCTCAGAGAAAGATGGTATTCGACGTGTGCCTGAAAATACTCTACATCGTACCCTTAGGGTATAGAATGCGGATTGCTTATACAAATAATATGATATACGCAGTACTGAATGTTGGATAGGGAAGTGACGAACTGACCGGATAAACCATGGACGACACGATATGTAGAGTAAGCTTGGTATGATGTTGTGTAGTGAGACTAAACCAGATCAAATCATCATTAAGTGCATCAGTGTCTGATGATCAAATCGCGGAGCCAGCGAAGCGAGCGGAACATATACCGCAACAACAGGCACTTTCGCGTTGTGCGCGCGTGTGTGCGTGCGTGCGGGTGTATGTGCGTGCAGAATTATTCTGGCTTAACTACGAAGCGTTGGAGGCTATCAGATAGGACAAACGACTCCTCTATATGCGGAGGTGTTGGAAATAATCGGAAAACCCGATTATGCGAACAGCTCGAAGAGATATACACGAAAAACTTTAATCATGGAGAAATGCCCTACCCGGGGATCGAATCGAGGACCTATGTAGAATTTATTGACTGAGTCCATGGACGTGGACCAGTGAGCTCCGCCCCTTGGTCACGAAGGCCTAGTATGATGACTTTCCTTGCTCCTCGTTGGATTCCCTCAAGGTTGTGAGTAGATGAAGTTCCACCATCCTCGCTGGACATTGAGTAGTTTGTAGGTTTGATCACACAGAGTCGTGAGCGTCTCGAGACTCCTGCTAAGCTATCCGAACGCAGGGCAAAAGCAGTCCAAAAGCTGGCACTTCTTGAGACGAGGGTTATACTGAGTTTTCTCCCATCCACCAGCATCCTCCAGGAGCCTAGGGACATCCTCAGGATCATTGGGAAAGCATGAAGCGAAGCGGAAATGCTGGGAGGTGCAAGATTGCTAGAAGCCGTGTACCTCAATGTTCTGTGTCCTCTACCTCAGATCCCAGTTGTTGCACTGGGCATCGGCTGTCACTATTAGTAGTTGAATTGTTATTGCATCAATATGTCTACTTTTTTTTCTTCCTTCGTGTGGGAGAATTGCGGATCTGCTCAACTGTGGAAAACCTGCCATGACGGTGTAGGCGGCATACTTTGCCCACAGTTTGATGCGTTCTCGCATATCACGGTTTGTTTCATAGCCCGGGGGAGGGTGCTGTCGTGTTCGACAGCTGGGTGGGATATGTATATATGTGTCTCATCTGCAGAAGCAAAGTTGCACGGGTCAGTCATAGTGCGATTAGTTCAGAAATGTTCGAATTGCGTCTCACTGTGAGACTCTCACAGTGTGAGACAGTCTCACTGAGACTCACACCTACGACGGTGATGTGAAAGGGGACATCGGGAAAACGAGCATCACCAGACTGTCAGCCTCAGGTATGCATAATCGCCGCAACTGGTGCGGAGCATGGTTTCAACCATGCCAACCTCTCAAACCACTATGCTTCTACACAACGGGAAACTTGGAGGAATTGAACAAAGTCCTTATTCTAGCGTTGCGTTACGTCGAACTTGAACAGGGAGCTTTTTTTATCACTAACTACGTCGCTACAACAACCCTAACAGCAACTGACGAAAATACCACAACTACCAATCCTTCTATAACGGGCATAGTAGCTACAGCTATCCCGTCTATAACAAGTACATTTATCTACCAACACAACGACCATCACTACAACAACATTTACAGCAACTGGCAAACTGCCACAACTACCGATCCTCCTGCAACGGGCATAACAATACCAACTACAGCTACACCCACCACTACACAGTCTCTGAAACTCAGCAATTATTCAATTGAACAGCCTTGAAGGCTGCCTTCGACCTCTTCGCTGGAAGCTGAGTGCAGCCAGGCTGCGTAGAATTCATTCAGCTCTACGTTCAGCGGCTAGTATTGACCACGGTCGTATCTCATACCGCCCTAGCGGACAGCCAACAAAAAATCTGGCCATTCACTTTTTCACGGAACTCACGGCATGATTAAAGTGGACAAGAATTCCAACATCGATAAGAGAACGTGATCAAAGAGTACCGAAGGTTCCGATCCGGAGGGGGGACGATCTAAGCTAGCAGCTCACTCGCATCTCCGGTAATGATGAGCACCCCAACAGCGACATCTACCGGAATAGTCTACGGCATAGCAATGAGTACTGGTGATTCGTCATCGGCATTCGAGATACATGATGGGAGGGATGAATAGAGTTAACTTGAGAGAGATTTCCTGCTCTGCCAGAGCTGCTCTGGTAAATCTTGTTCTCTCAATGAGAGACTCTCATGCATTGTGACTCACAATTTGTGAGTCCCAATTTGTGACAAATCCCCTCCCGTCCGGATGCCCTCCAGGACCAGTCAAGATCCACAGACAACCCTATCGAAAAGATGGGGTTGTCTATGTGATTTTCGGGCTCTTCGACACCGCTCAGATCATCAACATCGTCCACCATGTCTCCTTCCACAGCTACTATATGGAAGTTCCAAATCCATGTCGCTATGTCGCTATGCCGCTTGTCACATGACGTCATGACCTTATCGCTGGAAGTTTCAACGACAGGGTCATAACGTCGTCCATTGCGACCCTGGCGTACTCGATTCGTGTAACTCGGACCCCAACATCAACTTCGTCGCTACCTCCGGTGATGCCAGAATGGCATGGTGGTCTCCCCTGGGAGCAACCTCGCACAGTATGGCGTCCTTCCCCAAGGCCAACAATCGCCTCCGATTACAGTTGGCTATGGGTCACATGGCTCTAGCGTCGAAGACCTTGGTCCGGAGGTTCCTCATGGAGTAGAAGGCCCTGTCGAACCTCGTCGGAGCCTTGGATACTGCGCGCTCTATACTAGTGACAGGGCCAGCGCCCCCGATCGGCCCGTAACCCGACTCGCGTTGGGAGGCTCGCATGCTTTGGTCTCGCCCTTGAACGTTAGGCGGTAACCGCATTCATAGTCGCGGACCACCTTGTCACCCGTTTGAATGGGGGACTGGTCTCAAATGGACACTTGAGGTCCTCACCATACCCGCCATGCCCTTTAGAAGATTTCGGGGGAGCGCAGCCTCGAGGCAAAGTCCTTACCTCGGACGCCGCATCGGAAGT